TAGTTAACCTCGTCTACAACTCATGTCTGTAACCTTGCACTGGTTTTTACTTCCTACCGAGAAATCCTATTACAAGCTGGTCTGGATAACTATACTAAAAAAGAGCTCATTCATAATTTCTTGAGCTGCAGAGTTAAAAATAAAAGAATATATAAAACAAAAAATTATATCACTGAGCCTCTTTATTATATTTTGTAAATCAACATTATTACTAACAACTTGGTTCTTCTGAATTTCCTCTATTCTTTCGACTAACTTCCCAATAGTTATCTCACCAATAATTTGTCTTCATTAACCTACATAAGTGCAGGTGTACAGTAATGATATTAAAAAAGTCTGAGTAAACATACCTTTGTTTTATCTATAAACGTATTTTCTGTTCCGCTCCTCGTCCCGTCTTCTTTATTCCTCTTTTTTCAGAACCTTATTCCACTCCTCATATATTAGTCTGGATATTTGCAGTAGACTTGGTTACCCTACCCAAGAACATGTAAAATCATTAGCTGATGAATATCAACCATACCTTTGTACATTTACCGCATCAATTCTTGTTATATGCAAACCTATCTCTACCATGAATCGTTTCTCAGTCCATAAGATGATTGTCGTAACGCAACCTTCGTAACTTGCGCCAATTATTCGCATTGAACATTCCATCTTTAAGAACACAATGAATCTTGTGAAATGTTTCAGTAAATGTATACCGTTTTAAAAGAAATATGTTGTTAATCTTAACATTTTGATCTTGCCTGTAAATTGGCATGTCTCTTGTAACATGTTTGTTATTTGAGAATAAATTATTATTATTATTATTATTATTATGATACTTTAGAACGAATAGTCAGGCTCTTACCTCGTCGAATGCCCAGTGGGCAGAGCTAGTAATCAAGTGGGACGAAGAGGAGAGAGAGCCTAGTTTCAATGAATTGACGGAATTTATTATGTCTCGTGCTAAGATAGCTAGTAGTAGGTTTGGAAGATTAGCTTATCAGGCTAAAACAGGAAATAATACGGAAGCTACTAGTGGTCTGCGTGCGAGACATTCGGATTTTTCGTTTCTACCTAAAGCACGCTCGGAAGATAAGAGATTTGTCAATTATATCACGAAAGCATACGCTGATGAAGGACGAGTATGTGACCGTAACGATGTAAAACCTCTTGATGCGTGTCCTAGCAAGAAGCCGGTTGGTGTAACAGATAAGATGGCTTTTCTAAGTATAGAAAAGAAAGAAAAAGGTGAAAAGTGTAGGCATCAAGATGGACCCGAAGTGTGTGATGATAAAAGCCTCTTAGCTGCTCGAAAAGCCTGGAATGGTTATTTGGATTCGAGTAATCAGAGGTTAATGAGTTCAGCAAATATGAATAAGACCCAGGCAGGATTGACTGAACGGAATAAAGCTTATTTTCGGAACCCTTCAGTTAGGGTAAATTATATAACTGGACCTAGAGTAGATTCTAGGATAAGTGATGGTGGTACAGTAACGGCTAAGAAGCCTAGGAGACAACATGATGCTACTATTACTAAGAAGCCTGAACCTCATGCTCCTTCGGATGCTACGACTAGCCATGGAAATAGTAGCCATCAGAACCTTAGTAGTGACAGTGATAATAAGGATATAGAAAGTGTCAGCAGTTCACTTATAGGGACTAGTTTATCAACTTCATCGAATGAGCCTCCTAGTGTTTCGACGCCATCGGACCTCGTCACGAAGGTTAAGTTGATTGAAGATGCACAAGGTTGTGCAACTGTAACTGTTCCTATTACGGTTGACTGTCAGTCGAGTGATGATGAGAAGAAAGTGTTTGATGGTAACAGCCAGTCTACAGTGATATGTGATGACGATGCTATTGATGAGCATACGTCTTGTGTCTCTGAAACGGATGCTAATGCACACCGAATCGACGCGACTTGTCTGACAGAACGGAATCATTTAGACGTCGATAATAAACTGGATGTCACTGATGTGACAAATGAGTTACCGACGATGATGAATACTGTTCAAACCTCCTCTGCATCAGGAGATGGAAGGATAAATATTGATCCTACGTCATGCTACTTAAGGTCTTCTGGAGACGATGAAATGTCAAAATTGGAGATCCCACCCTTGCATATTATTTATGGGTCAAAAACTTCTGTTGATAAGTTAGCATCACGGACTTCATGGTATCTGCTGATCGGAGCAAGTGGTGGTGGATTGGCGACTCGTCCCCATGATAGAGAATGTAGTCTTCGAATAGGATATGACCAGTTTTACGATGTGTTGTTCATGTTCGTGTGGGTTAATTGGGTAAGGTTTATACTACCGTTAGGTCATTCCACGATAGATAGGGGAATCAAGGGCCTGATGGGAAAGTATAGGTACCTAGTTAACACGATAGGTCATATCCATGTTGGATGGCGTGTAGGCGTACTGCTGTAAGTCCTACACGTTATTCCGGTGTGGATTAGGGGATAACGGGGAACCCTAAATAAAGTGTCATTAACGCTTGCTCTTTTTGCATGGAGGGATTTTGCGGGCCGGTGTAGAATTCTTTTTGAATGTTTTGTTTTTTGGAAAATCCCTCCATGTTTACATAATTTTGCTATGACATGATGGACTTGTTCTCTTGACATTTTTGGTATTTTATTTGATTCCAATTTGAGATTTTATCATTGTACATTGTTATTCTTTCTATATTTGTACTTATATTGAAGTTTTTGGGTTTGCTTCTGAACTGTACATATATTGTTTAAATTTGATATAATATGGCTACCGCCACATTTTCGGACGGACGCAGTGGCTGCTGGACTTAGCTTCACTTATTGGTTATTGTGTTGGATACTCTGCGGAGTAACTTAACCCTGGAAGAAACACAAATTCCGTAAGGCTTTGTATTTCCATTTTCTAATAATACAGAGACGTTTTCTCCTAGAATTTTGTCCTTTTTTGCATTGGTTGGGACCCGGGACTAGGAAAAACGTACAGGAGTGCTTCTATTGGAAACAATTGGGACGGCCACTGTCGAAATAAATCTACAATACCACCAGACTGAAGCTCAGTTGGCTGCAATGTGGAGAATTATAAGGGGAAAAAATAATTGCTTAGGACACGACAACTATCTCAGAAACTAATTAAACAATGTAGCTTGGGTTACTGGTAGTGCAGATGGTGTGGAAGGACTGTATTGTGAGGATAAAAGTAAAAAAGGAAATGATTGTAAACCATATAAGTTAAGTTAGTGATATCGATGACAAAAAACAAGTTTCAGTACATGAATTGGGTACAGTCGTTCGAAGCAGGGGGATCCTTAGGTCGGCGTGTTTTTTAAGTCTTGTCTTGAATCCATTCACTGACAGGGTTGTAGCCGATTACACTGGGAGAGTATTTTAAGTGAGAGTAACTTAGTGAGATAATGTGGGTGTGTACCAGAATGTATCTTCCTCGACATGTAACATAAGCAGTAATCTCAAGAAGTACTTCAGTCATTTTATTGCAGGATTTTCTGGTTAGATTGACTTAGTGTACCCGACAAAGCCATAAGCAATCATTACATCACCTTCTACTCTCCTATTAATCATCATCATTAATCTCAAGTGTTTGGGTCAATCTTAGTAAGATTTGTTCTTCAGCCAATCACCCAATTAGCTGACTGTGTCTGCAACCGGTCTAAAAGAAGGGTTTTTCTGTTGAAGGGAAGGGATGCGACGACAGTATGAAATCATATACAAAAATAACAAAGTTACATGGGGCATGCCAGACGAGATCAAACTGTTAAAATCGCTAACATACTAAATGTTGTCAGTGTAAGTTTCAGAGTGGACTTTGAATTCGGAAAAACAGTTCTAGAAGTTAAGTTGTGCACCTTTCCCAGTATCCCAACAAGAAAGCAATTTATCTGGGTAAGGAACGGTTCTGTTATTAATTAAATAATAGAAATAATTACCTAAACAATATTACACTGTTCTCTGACAAAATTAACACAATGTGTTTCCAGTTCTGGAAGAATACCTCCGAATAGTTCCAAAATTTTTCATGTTCACATACCATTAGGAAAGAGTAACCACGGCACAGTCTCGTTTACCATTGTCATAAACGAAACGCTCAAGCATAACGAAAACGAGCCCTACCCTTGCTGCACTGTGGTAAATAGCACGCACATGAGAGAGCATCTTCTACTCACAACATGGCCACGGGAATAGCGTAGGCTGAGAGTAGATGATCACTGGCCAGCAGTGAGAGAAAATGTACCTCAGTCACACCACGCATCCGGAAAGAGAAGAATATGACACAAACGATTTACACCTTCAATGGCATATGGTACAAAGAAATTCATCAGTTTATACCAGCTCGTGACAAAGATACTGGATATTGGATATTGTAACTAGATCTCAAGGTTTTTGTGTTGCCAATGCTCTCATTCTGAGTCGCAACGCTACAGTAGATGGGGCGGTCGTCCTGTCATTTTCGGGGTAGTTATATGTATAGCAATTATCATCCATGGACAAGATAATTGCTGGTGTATTAATCAGTAACTATCCCGAAAGTACGAAGATCATACTTCTGAAGAAGTTCAAGAGTCATGTAGATGAACTTCGTGAAACTGATTTCCTTAAAGAAATTGTCTTCACTTGTATTCAGAATATTCACAGTAGAGATGATTACTCTCAGCCATACGTCAGTGCGGTTTGTGATCTCCTCTACTCCATCGAGTCTCGCTTGGGAGATAGCTCCATCAGTCAACTTTCTGAGAAGATCACAGACTCCTACACTCCAGTTGTGGTAACTTCATTTCCAAAAGCTTTATCTACATTTGTAAAAAAAATTCTAAAGCGCTGCGCATCGATACTTCTTCATTTGTTCCTGGAAGATTCGGGACGTCTAGCAAATCTATCTTCTGGGCTTCGTTTTATTTTGAATCACAATCTTTTAAATGAAGACAAGCAGTTATACTTACTGATTCAACAAGCTCTTGAAAAGTCGTTCGTGAATAAATCAAGTTCTAGTGATCTCTGTGACGATATGTACTTGGAATTTTTATCAACTATTTTTGAAGTTTTAGTAACTTCCTCTTCCCAGTTTTCGTCTGAAAATTTTCCATCTGATTCCTTAGATGTTGAATGTGTTGAGTCCATTGCACGGTCGTTAATAATGTTTGTTACTGAGCCAAAACTTGGTAGTTCTACTCAGTTGAACACATGTATACTTACTGAACATGTCACTTCTTTAGTTCAGAGTGTTTTAGTCAATACTAGATATGATCACTATTACATTTCCGTTGCTTCGGTTTTATCTGAACTTCAAAAATTCTGCTCGAATGATTCAGTTTTGTCGGAAACTATTAGCCAATTTTTCGATCAATTAATTCAAAGTCATATTATCAACATTGAGATATGTTTTATGGCGTTGCGTCGTCTAACCTTGTGGCTCACGTGGTCTGAACTATCTACACATCAGTCTTCTATAGACCTCTGGCTTATTGGGTTTCAATGTGAGATGTTCAAAAGGTTTCCTCCTACCGAATCACAGTCCCTAAGTGACTGTTGGTCAGATTTCATGAGCTGGCAACTTAAATTTGTTTTAGAACTTATGGGTCGTTTGTCTCTTCCTCATGAGTCAACCGTTTATGCTTTGGCCTTTCTCATTCTTAGCGGCGACAGTAAACGTGATCGATATGCTGATGATATAGTTTCACATCTGGCACCTGTTTTAAACAAACTGCTTAGCATTTATGTCGATGACCCATTAAATGAAGGTTGCAAAGAAATTCTGCTCAAGATTTACACGATTTCACGCCTAATTGACCCCCTAGATAATTCTAATGGCAACCATTTATCCAAAGCATGCACACAGAGGACGAAACACCTAGCTATTTTGCTGCGTAAATTCCATAGTCAGTTCAACGACGAAAACAGTTCTGAGATTTGGAGTTCACGAACAAAAGTTTATAAATTGGAGTCTCTAGCAAAGTTTGGTCTTCAAGCTGGGATTCGTCTTCGAAAAATATGGGAGCGCTGGAATTCGACTTCAGCAGTCCGAATAACCAATATACGCCCGACAACTTTGAAAGTAAGTGTGTGTCTAGGTTTAAACTTTAGCGGTTGTTGCACATAAAAAAGTATCAAGATATCATTCCTCTATTACCACTTGAAACATTCTAGCTTAATAATCACCCGTTGTTTTGTGCGCTGGATTAGACCAGATTTATTACCTGATAAATCCTAGTAATCCTCATATCAACTAGTTTTAAGAGATTGGTTTTGATGAGCAATATGATCCCTCAGTTTGATTAACCTCAATCCTATCGATCGCATTGTAACCCAGGGTGGTGAGTGATAATCAGTTTGTTTACTATTATAGACTTTGATACAGATATTTCACGACTGTTCAAGGTCCTAGAGTTACGAGAGCTATACATTACGTTTTCCACTCAACTAAACTGAAGCTCTGAAAAAATTTAGTTATCTAGGCGGAGTGATAGGTATATCTTGGATTTGCTTGTAATATGTTCTATCAAATTGTTGAAATATGATTTATTGGCGAAAACTAGTTGTGTTATCAAATGGTTTGACTTTTCGAGCCGTAGCCGAGTGCTTTGTGCACCGGAATATTAAGGTTGATTGTCACTTCCCTTAGTTTAAGCGTGATCAGTCAGTTAATCAGTTATCATTAACATGGAGCATGGTATACCTGTGCATCAGTACAAGTTACCATACCGCAGAGGCTCGGAAAAGTGAATTTAACAAAATAAATCTCAAAGGAGATCAGAACGATGTAGTAGCGATGCTAATTTGAATGACGGAACTCTATCAATTCAGCTGCAATATAGCTACTGGGCCGAATAAATAGACACCATGTGCCCTATGTTTTACTGTCAGAAATTCGAAAAAGTTACCACTTGGCAATTCGTCTTGTTCTGACTGAAACAGCTTTTAAAAATGAATAATATTTGTAAGCTACTGTCTTTTGATCATAGATGTCTTCAAAGTATCGTTTGCACATATTGAGACTGTCGGTTAGATGCAGGTATCTGTATAAAGACAGCGAACCAGTTGATGAAGTAGTGAATGTTTATCGACTGACATAGTTGGGGCATGTACTATGCATTCCCAACTTCCGCCTACCTCTGTGTAGGTAGTTTGCCGGTATAGGATTAAGTTAAGAGAGAGCTAGGGGCGACTAATCCAGGACTTGGTATCAGTCCATGAAATCACTAACATCTAGATCCGGTCGTATTAACAGGTGTAGACTAGTATGGTGAGATCCTTTTCAGTTACTGCAGCCAGTGTTTCCAAGTGGACAGGAATTCATGTAACTCAGTCTTGCAGTAACTGGCACTCATCAGCAAGTGATATTTGCAATCTTGAATTCATGGCTTCTTACCTGTCGCCTCTGAGAACTTAAAATTGAAATGATAACTTTATATTTATCCAAAAGCTGTAAAACATTTTCGTTCTTTGCACATCAAAAAAAAGTTGGTCAACATCACTGTGAACAATAGGTTGATGCTCATTGATAAACTGCTTAAATTTACTTTCGTTTAACATATCATTGTGATGATTATTAACATTATCTGATTTTGCTTGTTTTACTGTTGAAGACAAATCGTTCAGTTGCTGGTTATATAGGTCTGCTGAATGTTGGCAATACGTGTTATGCGAATGCAGCTCTACAATTACTGTATCACTGCTCCGAGTTTCGTCGTGCTTTATTTGGATTTCATAAGGCTGATTCATCAACTGGCACAGTTCTGACATCTTGTACCTCATTTTCAACCAAAATTGACTCTGTCTCATCAAGTCAAAATTCCACCCCATCAAATAATCGAACATTACCGGTCTCAAATTTACATGAAAATGCGTACTCATTGGATAATCCAATATCATCAGTTAAACATCAGGGCATTTTACATGCTCATCTATTTTCCCTTTTCAAGTCACTTGACACACATCAGGTAAGCTGATGTAATATTTGCTGTGTTCTTACATTTAGTTGTTTTTAATCCGTTATACAATATTTATATATTGCTGTGCTCAAACATATCTGATAGACCGGTAAATTATCACAGTTCACGTTTTGCACAACATTGGACGGAATTAAATGTTGAAGAATACGTTTATTCGACAACAAAGAGTTACTGGTATTAGGTACTGGAAAATCCTTTTTATGGCCTACAGGTTGGTGATTTAGTGTTTGAGTTATTTCTACTTCTTACGGAGTTGGTAAATATTTAGTTTTTACTTCATTATACATATGAACTCATTAGTTTAAGCACATGTTCCTTGAGTGTTGGTCAATATTCTCTATAGTGACTGTCATGTTGTTTAGTAATACTTAATCACCAACGAAATCTAACACCTACCAATGATAGATCTCTTTAAGTCCCCTTAGATTTCCTATTTGCTAGTCAAAATTGGTTGTCCAATATTTTATTTCATCAGTTGTAAAAGTGTATACGTCAATGCTGCAAAACATGCTCCTCATCTTGTATGTATGTATGTATGTATGTAAAATGTCACCAATCTGTGTATTCATGTTATCTCAGAAAACTTATTATTATTCTCCTGTTTTAATTAGTGTTGATATCACTGTTCCAATTTCTTTTATCTCTTATCGATCTCTCCTAGTTTTAGTGTTTTTGTAACACAAAATCTTGCGTCAAAATGTATGTAGTGATATCGTTAGGTTACTCAGTTTGCTCATCCAATTTTTCCCTTGCCAGAAATTTTGCTCATTTCTAAGTTTTATAAATGTGTACTATTGATTGATGTTTGTTTTCTAGATAGCAAGCTTAAAAATATCACGGATATTCTACGAAATCTAAGGTTGACTAGGTAGAAATCGTTTAGGAAACTAACCCTCATATTTATTACGTAATCCTTATTATAATGAGTATTAAATGTAATCACTCTGGATTTTTTTCCACTTATTTCTGAATAAACTAAATTAGTAGCTTGGTGGTTAAAGCATGTAGTTTTCAGGCATGTAGTCCTTGGTATACTTCAAATACTTCGATCCAGGTAACCGGCCAATGTTAGTAACTCTAGCATGAAATATTGGAATCGTAGTCTATTACATAACTTTTTACCTAGCACATAACTTGGAAAGAGTGATGGTTAGTCCAAAATATCGCTGAGTAACGATGTTTGTTTTGCAGAATCTTCTAGTATAAATCTCTACAAAATGTATGTAATTGTTGGAAGTAGCCTAACTTTTACTAATCCTTACGTCTTCGAAGGCAGATTATATGCTCATGCCTAAATAACGTGTCTAAATGACTGCATTATATTCTTAACAAAAGTCCTATTACTGAATAGGTTTCAACAATAACTACAATTCTTCTGTATATCATAATAGTAATGTATGAAATGCATGCTGGTTTTTATAGCACAATATTCGTTTAGTTTTTAGAAAAATAATATCAATCAATCAATCAATCAACAGCAACGTAGAACTTCGTACGTACGTACGTACTTCAGTTCAAGTTGCCATACCACATTAGCACAGGGACGTCATTGTCAATTCAAATCCCATAGTAGTAGAGATAATAGAAGTACTAGCGGTGATCGGAAATTTAAGGGTTCGACGATATTATTCAAGAAGTAGGATCTAGTGAAATAAATTTAAAAACAAAAATTTAGGAGAATACAAAGAATGAATGAACCTGCACCATTCCAAACGGTTTAGAGCCACGTTATTCCGGGTCTCTAACCATCGATTATTTTCATCTCACGGGCTCCAACTAGGTAGTCGACACTGACCGACATGACTCAGTTCACTTTTCAGTGACTTCATGGATTTGTGCCATGTTTTGGTCTGGCCGCCCCCCCCCCGAGCTTTCTTCCAACCTGTTCCTACATTGCAAAATATGGCTTGATGAGGCAGTCGGTGGTCAGGCATACGTAACACATGTCCCAACCACCTCAACTGATGAAGTTTCAATTCGTCATCTATTGATCTGCCATCCCTACCTAGTACCCGTTTCCTAATAACTGCATTGCTTACTCGATTGTCCCACGATACTCAAGCAATGCTTCGGAGACACCTATGGCCGAAAACCAGTAACCTATGAATATCTTCTACTCTGACTGGCCATGTTTCACAACCATAAAGTAGGAAGGAGCAAACTATTGCTCAGTACATTGGTCCTTTGGTCAGCAAACGGATATCTCGCCTACGCCATAAGTGACGCAGGTTGGCGAAATTCAATCGAGCCCTCTGTACTCGTGCTAAGATTTCGTCAGTCACCAGTTCATCAGCACTGATGAGACTCCCGAGATAAGTGAAGCGGTTGACCATGCTCAACTGCTTCGCTCTCTATCACTAGGAAAATGATAAAACTAAATTGACACATCAGTACTTGATCCTCATTACAAATCCTCCTTTACTTTTTAAGAGCAAATATTTTCAAATTTAATTTTAGTTTAATTGTTAGCAATTTTTTTACATTATCAGTTTATCAATTATTGTTGTGACCGCTAAAAATTATTCTTGCGAAAATTTCTTTTACAATAGCTTCCAACCGTTCGTGATATACGAGCTGTACTTACACTTACCAAACCAGCACATTTTGTATCTGGTGAACAACAGGACGCAGCTGAGTATTTAAACTACCTATTGGATCGTTTACATGAAGAAGAGTTATATTGTAAAAAGCAGATGAATCTCTGTTTGGATTCATATAGGTGAGTGTTAAGTAGTTATGTGAATATAAAATGAGCGTTGTTTGTATCACTAAGGTTTCCTCCTTCTGTATGAAGAATCTTTTTTTTTCTTCTTCTGATATACTGCAAATAACGTTAATTAACTCTGCATAAGATTAGGGACATTAGTTAGTTGACCAATATAGTTTAAACTGCTTAAGTGCTTATTATTCCTTACAGCACTATCCGATTCGCAATGTAGAGGATTTAGGAAGAAAATTGAACGTCCTCAAACTAAAACACGGCATTAGTCCATTATATGTTGAAGTAAACCATATTATTAGGTTCACATTTCCTGGTTACACCATTTCCCACTCCAATGATTGGACACGTCGGATGACAGAATTCTCTGAATCTATCCTAATGGAGTAAATGTATTCTATCAGTCTTACTTTAGTCTTTAAGTTTTAAAATTATTTTAAACTTTTTATTCTATGAACTTGAATCATATGGTTCATGCTTAATATTTTTCTATCATCACTGATGCTATTACTACTTTGAAGTTTTTATTTTGATCATCTAATCTCAATCCTCCGGTGTGGAAATACATGTCAGGTTGTACGTTGTTTACAAGTGACCAAGTTATCTGTAACTACTTGTGTTTGTTTTTTTCTATCAGTCTTATCCACTTACATACATTGGAGTAACTTTCAATCCTGAGGAATATTCCAAATGATTTTTTGATTATTTTACCTTTAGTCGTGACTGTTAAAATGTATGGTGTTTTCGGCAGTCAGTTTTAACTTGTATGTATAGAGTGTACCAGATCTCATACAGTAGAATACAATATGAAATGCCACTACTAGCTTATGGTAAATATATAGTACATGTATACCATACTATATATATGGTATATATATATGTATATATATAGTATGTTTTTATATATAGTATGTTTATATATATAGTATATACTTAAATGTATATATTCATCTCTACTATTTTTGTGCACCATTATTCGATGTACTTATGTACATTATGTCTTTTTTTGTAGTTAAAGAAAACTAGAAATATTGGTTGTTTGTATAGCAGCAGTAAATGTAATCTAACCATTTCACGTTTTAATATCTCTTTTGGTATCTCTTCTATAATTGTTTATCAATTTCACTAATACATTGATCGATATGTATATATTTCAAGGGATTCGTATCAATCATATGATTCAACTGTAATATATATATGTTTATGGTAGAAAAAAAATTATCAACCTACACATTTTTTTCAAATATACCTTGAATATTGCAAAATTCTTTTCTGCATTAATCCCATTCACCAGAGTTACTACATACTACTAGTTCAGTATTGTGGTGGTGTTTCGTTTTCTGAGCTGGTTGTTTTGGTTGTGGAGCTTTCATTGTTCTTCTGAACATCATCAGCACAAACTTCAGATAGAAGTGAAGCATTCGAATTTCTCCACGTTTGACCTGTAGCTTGTTCTGCTAACCTCGATCTTGATTGGTTGCTGTCGACTTTTGATCTGTCGTTGTTTGCAACTTTGTTTTGATTGCACCTCCCTTTTGATCTGTTTCTTGATCCTGTGTCACCTATGATTTTTCTGATTGGTTGATAAATTGAGTCAATGTCGATGTGTTTGTTGATTGCTGATTGGCCTGAGTGCCAAGCTTCTAAAAATTCCCTAGTGTTCTTTGTCCTCCCCCTACCCAGTATTTCCACATTGTTCCAATCAAGATCGAGGTTAGCAGAACAAGCTACAGGTCAAACGTGGAGAAATTCGAATGCTTCACTTCTATCTGAAGTTTGTGCTGATGATGTTCAGAAGAACAATGAAAGCTCCGCAACCAAAACAACCAGCTCAGAGAACGAAACACCACCACAATCATCCACCTGAGCTACAAGTTTTCTCCACCATCTCACTAATTCAGTAGCCAACTCAAAGTCAAGCTTACTGCTAGGCAAATTAAACATCTTTCCTTGAAATCAACCTTGGTGGTGTAGTAGTATTTCGTGTTACTCCATTCTATGGTAATTAAGTATGGTTCAAAAAATCGGTCACAGTCGCGTAGATGTATTTACTCTTTAACGTATTCTAGATCTTAATTTATTGTATTCCTTCGCCCCTCGTTGAATCGTATTCTCGGTGTTTAGTCTTTTAAATTACCTTCACTACCTAACTACATTATTTCGACTGATTATGACTGACTGTCTGTAATAATTAAACAATTCACTATTGTACTCCTTCTTTGTCCATTTTCACGTAGATTATTCATTCAGTTTTAATAAAATACATAATCGAAAAAATGTTATGAGAATCAAATAACTGGGGTATCTTTACAAATGACACTAAGAGTGTTGTAAAATACTCGTTTCATACTACTTGGGACTCGTTCGGTAGATGTGTGTGTATCGAGATTGATGTTGAAACTGGAATTCGAACGCACTCTCCAACTTCAAACGTCCGACGCGTAATCCGCTTAGGCACTCAAGTCTGGATTCCACTGCTAGCTACATTCAATCGATTCTACAAAAGCTTGTGACATAATGGCCATACCAAGACAAGTCACACAGAATCCACATATTTTAACTAAGACTGACTAAAGCAGGTTTTAAGCTGTGGGATAATTCAAATCGTTATAAATTCAGTTACTGTAAAATAGTTCTGTATTTGCGTGTTCGTTTCTGATACCAAATACACCGTCGACTTGAAGTGATCCTCAATTCCAACATCTGGAAACAAAGCAAATCATTCTCACTAGATTTAATCCAATGTAGTAGAAACAAAATAATTTTAAATTACTTGTGGAAAGACAAGAAAGAATTACAGATTGTTTATACAAATACATTTTTTTAGTGGTATTGTGTTTTCTAAGCTAGATGGTTTAATTGTGGAGCACTCATTGTTTTTCTGGACAACAACATCGCCTAGTTCTTGTGAGCAGTGGAGTTCAACCCTGTTGACTGTAGGCAGTAACTACTGAAGACAAATGGGTGAGGTCGCACGAAATCCCTAGATTGATCAGAGTTTAACATTAACATCGTTGGATACCGTCCCAATGGTCCAGAGGCTAGGCGTTCGCGCGCAAGACCGATGGTCCTGGGTTCGGATCCTGCCAAGTGAAGGCGTCGTGGATGTGCACTGCTGACGAGTCCTATACCAAGACGAAACAGCTGTCCAGTGCTCCCAGGTTTCTAAAGGTGGTCTAGTAATGACTGGTTGATTATTTCAATGTGTAAATGTTATTAAATCCTCGGTTTCTCTGTCAGTTTTTAAATCAGTTTGCTTATGTGGCCATGTCTCTGACTAATCTTTTTCGTAAGTGTTTTTATCTTCATATGTTCTTTGATTTATGTTTATAGTCTGTGTTTAGTTGACTTCTGCCCTCTTCTCTATGGGTTGATCGATTGGACCCATCATTCCAAAATCCTACGAGCATCTAAATATGTAACCATTGATTCTACTTAACCAGTGGGCGCTAAAATTATTGCTTCACATATGATCTCACACAAAGTCGAATACAAATCTATAAAACATACTACTAGAAATGTAAATAATTAGATTAATTCTGCTCTGAAAGTAGTGTATTTCTCATTCTTATTATTGATTGTTTAGCGTCAATATTATTCAATTGACTATACTATTGTATAGTGAGATTTCCAAAATGTGTACATAGTTAATGATGTTGTTTTAGTTTATCTTTCTACATTCAGTTGTTTTAAGGTTAGTTATACATGAAATCTAATTTTCTCATACACTGAAACCTAAGTTGATTTATTAGGTTATAATAGTTATTGATATGAATTACAAAGATATCTGTACTGGTAGAACTTTAAGTACAGTTCGTCCAGTTTTTCATGCAGTAATTATTCCCTTAGTTGAATATTTTATTAATTTGTAATTGTTTGGGTTTTTCTCTTATCAGTTTTGGTCATACTATTACGCTGTTGCTTGATTGATTACATGTCGTAACACCAGTCTATCGATCAGTTGTTGTGCTAATGTGGTATGGTAACATGAACTGATGTACGTACGTACGAAGTTCTACGTTGCTATTGATTGATGATTGATTGGTTGAGTTGTTATTGCCATTGCTTCAATATTTTAGGTTTATTTTCATTTATTTTTAGAAAAGATCTACATATCATGCAAAATAATTTTTATTGACAAGACTACGTTAGAAACAATCCGTCTGGTAATAGGACAGAAAAGGCTTGTATTATTTCTCGGGCCCTCTTTGGAAATGTTCGAAATTGGCAACCACGACGCCAAACTAAGGGCATCGAAGATTAATGCAAGTATAGATCTAGTGACTGTTCAGAAATGCGTCTATAGAATGTGGTCGGCTGAAGATAGACCAATCAACACTCTACGACATGATCTCGTCTGAAGCGTGCTTGCAAATAAAAAGTAGATAACGCTGTAGTTGAGAACAACAATCAAGCTTCATAATAATGAGATGAACTAGCTGAAAAAATATATCACCATTCAGAAAGTATATTTCTTACATCTAAATATTGATTAATTTCGACGAACTCGAGTCTACCCTTATGATGATGACCTTTAATAGGCTTTTAGTTTCAATTCAGCTAATCAGAGAATAGCAAATAACAATAAGTGCATTATAATACAAAATAAAATAGATTGACAAATATAATATTATGTATTTTTTTTACATAGTGAATAAACTTTTCTTTGTTTTGCTATAGATTCGTCAGTCTTAAATTCAACATCGTTTGTACTGTATAATAACCTTAACAAACATTGCAACTATAAATTTCACTCTATCTCATTGTCGTTTATTCATTATTATTTCATCTACTCATTCATTCTCAGTTATCCAATATCTTGTACATATATATTTGTATCTATCTCGTAAATTTGAACTGGTTTACTCATTCCTAATTAACCCCCTTCAATAGAATTCAATATACCAAGTCGTAAGGAAATTATTCCATTTAGAAAATAATGGATATAAGGAAGAATGTATAGAAAAGTTTGTTTATTACCGTAATGTAGTATTGGAGAACTAAATGATTAAGTTGTTAAGCCCTACACCTTACTGGAATTTTATGATATCGCTTCACGATAATTAATTAAATTTGAAGTTTCAATAGGTTGACAAATAGTTTACTATACAAAATAATTTAATGTATGTGACACATAATAGTGTGTCTGTTTGCATGCACTGGACCATTCAATCTTCCTTTTTTCACCAAACATATCAATAAATAGATGATAACATGATTGTCAACTACTAGTAAGTTTTTCAGAAAATAATATCGCTTCACAAAGCACTTGTCATTTTTCTAGCCAGTCAGTATCTTTAGATTTCTTACACAGTTTAGTTCGTAACCGAGTACATAAACCTGTACTTAATAAATCCGTTACACAAGTATGTGGTAAAATGAAATTTGTCTATATTGACTGTACGAAATAATTAAACTAGGTGGCTAGATAGATAATTTTGGTGGTAGCTCAAGACCCCCCGTCGAAATGAAGGCTGACAGTCAAATATCTTGTGATTTGCTTTTCTCTATCATTTTTCTGGTTCTGTGATTCTCATTACCCATTATTTATATGATACACACGCCTTAATATCTTCCGACTATTAAACTACTGAAGTGTAATACCAGAACTTTCTTTAGTTTTCGGTTATTGTATTTTTATATAAACTATTTTCAGCCTTTGATTTCTGCAATATAATGATTCCGGTTGGTACAGTTAATTTTAATTTTTTTTTTGCGAAATATACCAGTCTAAAGTGTTACATTAATTAGGTATACTCAACCGACCGATGTAGGAATAGGTTGGAAGAAAGCTAGGGGAGGCCAAACCAAAACATGGCACAAATTCATGCAGTCACTGACAAGTAGACTGAGTCATGTTGGCAGATGTAAGCTACCTGGTTGGGGTCCGCGGGACGAAAGTCACCAATGGTTAGAGACCTTGAATGACATGGCTCAAAACTGTTTGCAATGGCGTGGGTGCATCCACTCTTTGTGTTCTCTCAAATCCTAATCTTCTGGATTCGTCAACACCTCTACTTTTGTCTTTCTAAACTTATCTCACTGAATTAAATCCTAATCTTCTCCATTAGCAGTAATTCTTCTACTATCTCTAACACTATTGGATTTGAATTGACAATTACGTCCTTGTGCTAATGTAGTATGGCAACTTGAACTGAAGTACGTACGTACGTACGAAGTTCTACGTTGCTGTTGATGATGACTCAGCCGACAAACTCATGATACATTGTGCCTTCAAATTATACCGAGTAACATAACATGATAATAAATTTCCTTTAACAGTTAGTTGTATATCCTATTTGTTGTAATAATAAATTTTAGCTTATAATTTTGTGTTCATTATAATTCACTAATTCTTATATGATATACAGTAAATCATCAACTTTTATGGCTGATCAAAATATTCAATCTGCAGCAGACACAAGTTTCAATCCAAGTACATCATATTCTTACAATCCAAGTAAAGAATCCTGTTCAACTGATCCTGTACAAAATGGCGGTGAGAGCGCCTCGAGTAACGACTCATCATCATCATCGACAGTTGCGCGTCTTTTTGGAGGTACTTTGTTAAGACACACTTCTTGTGTAGAATGTCAACATGTTTCTAGTTCTAGACAGGAACAATTTATTTGTTTATACGTCCCAATAACCAAACCAAGGGCATTGTTGTATCAAGATCAGACAACACCTAATGAAAACCCAAGTTTGGTTAATAATAATATGCCTGAAGTAAGTCTGTGTGCTACCGTTTATAGTTTTTTTTATTACATCTTACTGTGATTATTATCATAAATTTACTCAGTGATTATTGCAAATTGAAAGAAGTAAATGTTTCCATCGGGATAATCGTTTACCATCATTCACCTTTATTCATTGCATAATCAGTTTCAAACAAAAATTCATCTGCCTAAGTTTACAAATTTGATTAGGAAAGAATTTCTAGCCTTTTCACAATAAATAGTAGTAGTAGCTCAAGACTTATTGCAGACATTCAATGGTGTTTACCATTCTATATCAGCTTTTATATTCAAGGTCATAGCTGTAGAAGCTTTTCGAGGGTTGTAAATCAGTAACTGACTAGCGCGTAAAGTCTCGAAATCCAAACAATGAAATCTCATCGTGAAAACAGTACTATTAGGGTAAACAATACAACCGGTAAATATTTACAGACCTTGAATCGTGAGATATCTGGATGTCTGTTACATTCCAAGGAATGACCAAATAGAAAGTGCACCTGTGACTCATGTAGCAGCACAATGCAATGTCGAATTTTTATTAACAACTTCCAAAGTACGTAAGGTGGTACCTGGGTATTACAAAGAAAAAAAAGGTAGGTATATTATTAATTGAAGTGGAAACTAGTTAAAATATCACAATTCTGTGGAATGAGAAAGTTCGACTTCAGTAGAAAACGAAGTATCTAGTGTTAGAATAGAAGTCTAAAGTTTGGCTAAACCAATCTAAACTAATCATAACTAGATAGTTTCCTATGTTACATCAGAAAGAAGAAGAAAATTTGACAGCCTCAAAAAGGCATGTCTTTCCTTATTCTGATTGTTGCCACTTTTTGTAGTGACATCCAATAATAAGCTAAACATTTAGTAAGCGAGTAAGCATTCTTACGCACAATCAAATGTACATTAGTCGATACTCGTCGATACAATTATTGGATAATTTAAACTACTAATCATTATAGTTAGTATAATGAATTTGAGATGGTGGAGAAAACTTGTAGCTCAGGTGGATGATTGTGGTGGTGTTTCGTTCTCTGAGCTGGTTTTTTTGGTTGCGGAGCTTTCATTGTTCTTCTGAACAACATCACCAGCACAAACTTCAGGTAGAAGTGAAGCATTCGAATTTCTCCACGTTTGACCTGTAGCTTGTTCTGCTAACCTCGATCTTCTAAAAATTCCCTAGTGTTCTTTGTCCTCCCCCTACC